AAGAGCCTGGGGGCTGATTCTTTAACACGAGCCTGTACTCCATTCAGTCCTGATGCCATTATGGCACCTCCATCATAGCACTGAGCTACTAACTTTGTTTTGCAATCAATAGCCCCTTTTACACTGCCAGATTTTCGGCGAATGTTGGGCCGTTTTGCTGGCAAGCTGCAAGCGTTTAGACACACAGAGCCGGGTTGGCGAGTTGATCCGAGGTGCCCAATTTTCCGCCTCTTAGGTTAGTCATATTGGCGGAACCTCTTTGGTTTAAAAAGAACGAGGTGGCCTTCTGCAACGGGAGGGGCTGTTAAAGACTTGTGGGAGGAGCTGTTGATGACACTGCACATGCGAGCCACTGGTGGTGGATAAACAGGAAACAGCTGATAGCAGGAATTAGCGAGCAGCTAGTAGCAAGAGGGAAACGCAAACCTGACAGACGCTGTAAAGATGAACAACTGGGGAGACAAAGCATTGTGCGCCCTCCTTTCCCTCGCATACGAAGAGGCCATTAACCGTCAGATGATGGTGAAGGACGGGCCGACTTATGAGAGAATTGCCGAAGGACTGACAAGCCGCGGCTTCCCTCCCACGTCACTGTTTACGTCACACGCTGAGCTACATGTTTTGTTACTTGCTCATGCCCCCCATTGCCCCAAAAAAGGCACATTCTGTATAAACAAAAGTAGGTAGGCGGCATTTTGCTGCACTCCCCCATTTTGTTTTATACTGCCAATGCTGAACGAAGACTGATTGGGCTTTCCTGCAAATTTGCACAATTCCTGTTTAAAAAGGGCTATCCACCTTATTTTTTTTACGGAAACACGGAGGCAAAACAGAACGCAGCCAGCTTCCATTTTTTGTGCGACACTTCCAGTCCAGCACTCTTGACCACTGTGTAAATGGGAATCACCTTGTTGTTTACCTTGTTGAGTTTAGCTATATATATATATATATATATGTATATCACATTTCTCACGTCACTATCACCATTTAGACTAATCTGATGTTTGTAAAGTCTATAAACACAATGGTTATCGTAGATTAGCTGGGCTAACCGTTAGCTGTTAGCCGTTAGCCGTTAGCGGTGTCTGTAATAACTCAATAACTCAACAAATGGTCTGTGAAAAACATATTTTTTCCAGCGGATGTCTTAGTTACAACATGATTGAGCTAACTGGAGTAGTTTCATGTCGTATCTGACAACGGGAGGCTTTTAACAGATGACGATCCTGATGCTAGCTTTGCTGCTGCTGTTAACGTTAGCTGTCCCTGTCAGCGGCAGCCACTGATGCTTTCTAGACATCTTGATTTCCCAAAACTGAATAAATACCACACATAGCAACACAAAACTGCTTTGCTAGCTCAATCATGTTGTACCGGCTGGATAGTCTCGCCACCAGACAATCAGAGACCTCCGCCTTCTGATAGTCTGGGGACACTCCTTTCTAAAGTGTGTTTAACACACCGGTGAAAACGGCCGGCAACAAAGCAACGCCTCTTGCATTTTTGAAAGGGACACGCCTTCTTGGAAATGTGCGCTCCCCCTTTTCTCGTCCGCAAGGAAACAAACACACAGAGAGCTTGAAAATGGATGCTGAGAGATTTAACTCCGTTTTATCAAACATGTGCTCATCCATGAAGAAAATATTTTCTCCAGCGGATATCTTAGTTACAACATGATTGAGCTAACTGGAGTAGTTTCATGTCGTATCCGACAACGGGAGGCTTTTAACAGATGACGTCCTGATGTTAGCTTTGCTGCTGCTCTTAGCTGATGCTTTCTAGACATCGTGACTTCCCATAACTGAATAAATACCACACATAGCAACACAAAACTGCTTTGCTAGCTCAATCATGTTGTAACTAAGATATCCGCTGGAAAAGATATTTTTTTCACGGACCGTTTAATGAGTTATTACCTATTACAGACACTGCTAACGGCTAACAGGGCTAACAGCTAACGGTTAGCCCAGCTAAACGTGCACACAGAAAGAGTAATGTTTGTTCAATCATGGTGTTTATTTACAAACATCGGATTAGTCTAAACGGTGATACAGTGATGTGAAAAATGTGATATATAGGCCATATATAGCTAAAAGCTCTGCTGGTTTTCTACCCGGAAGTATTTGTAAACAACAAGGCGATTCCCTCTATAGTCCGGCCGGACGGATGAGTCATGGCCTTGTAAAAGATTATGTTTGTTTCTTTTAGTTGGCGAGAATGCGTCGCCGCAAACGCGACAAACATCCACTAACTTTGACGGCGTTTTCTGCGAGCNGTTCAGTGAGCCACCGAAGGACCGCTCTGCAGATTTACTATTGGTTCTGCAATGTAGGGAGTTTTTTTAAACTCTGAAATTGTATCCGCCCATCTAAACACAAAATCAGGGAGAAAGTCATCAGTCTTAAGTTAAGCAAAGCGTCTAAAGACTGACTTGTGAGTCTACGGCTGGATGGTTGATGCGTACATGCTGATTCAGGTGCTATCAGAGCCGATCCGTGCATCACTATGGCTTAATAATCAACTCAGTCAATAAAAACAACCTGTCCTAGGAGTGTATGTCGCTGACAGGAAGAAAGAAAGAAAGAAAGAAAGAAAGAAAGAAAAGGGAAAAAAAGATAGAAAAGCAGCGTACACCTCACATATTTATTTCTCACAGTTGTGCACACGTGTGGCTGGCATGCAGAAGCACCGTCTGTGTGTCTGTGTGTCGAGGGTGTGAGCCGCAGCTTCAGCTGCTCAGGTAGAGAGACTGTGTAGCCCGGTGTGTTTATTCGCTGATTCGGTTCTGCAGGTTCTCTGCTGGTACACTGGAGACGGGGATCAAGCACTTTGTCTCACTCGGGATAGATTGTGCTTTTTTGGTTCATAGTTTTTGATTGATGTGCGATTTATTTGCGTTTAGAGGGAATTATTTTTACCGGCAATTACTGGATAACGGAAACGTGGGCACAGTTATCTATATAAAATACACACACTAACTAACTAACTAACTGATTGACTAACATAAACAATTGAAAATTGAAAAAAATTAGCTTGCACCGTTAGCTCCTGTAAGGAAAAGCATGAGGGAAAGCGGCTGACCAGAAGTCACGCACAAAAACACGGAAGTTGACTATGACTAAACACTATTTACTTCCGTGTTTGAAAATAAGGTATTTCAAGCGTTAAAGCAGCCAGATCAGGGGCTCGTTTTTTTATCTGTAACATCCTTTAACTTTAAAAATCTCGCACTCATTTCGGTTACGTACCTGAGGACATATGACAGCTAAGCAGTATTATTGAAGTCGGTGGTCTCATCGACCATAACTGCCATGAACTTGGTGTGGTCCATCTCTTTTTTGATTAAGCACCTCAGCAACAGCATTCATGAGGTCATTTTGAAATTTCCCTGGTGTCCCGGTAAAAACTGTGGCGGTGACAAGGTGGCGTCACAAGTCAGCATCACAGTCTGATAGCAAAGTCAGTAATTTCAAGTAATTACTCAATTCAGTGACTATTTCCCCTCATCGTGTCCCCTGAAAGATAATTCTAGCTGTCCCAAAAAGATAACACAATCAATAAGGCGCTTTAGTATGTCACGTTTTTTTTTAACTCTCTCTTTGTGCAGGCTTGTCCCCTGTCTCCACTTACTCATCAAACTGTAAGTCCACCCTGGTCTAACCAAATGTTTTCAAATGTACCACCGCCATGAGGTGATGCTCCGAGGCCTGATGTTTGATGGCTGCCTTGGTGAAGCTGTTGAGGCTACTTAAACCAGTGCTATTCCACATACCCTCAATAGTATTGAAAAGTAAACATGGCCAGCAAAATATCTTGTTCTGCTCTGTGCTAGCTGTTAGCCACTCATAGCAGTTGTCGTTGCTCTGGGTGAAATGCCACATAAAACCTTTGCTTGCCTTGGTAAGCCCATCCAGTTTAGATGTAGGTCTTCCCCTAGTGATTATTTCCTTCTTGTCTCCAAATGGTTGCATTGAAAAAGGCATTTGAAGTAGGTTGACAACAAGATCAGCAGTTGCTGTGAATGCAGCCGCCATTGCGTTTTCTTTCAGCATGTAAGATAATTTGCTCACAGCCCACTAGGTCAAGCTCAAAGTTGATGACAATACCAAAGTGATACATTGCAGAGCCCCTGGGGTGTTCTGTTCCCACATCAAAATCTGATTGGCTAATAATACAGTTACTCAAAGTTGTAATCAGTTTGCAGCTTTGGGCTTTGGCCTAGCAATACGAAGAACGCAGGTCTGAGGATTTGTGATGTGTTTAAATTACATAGAAAATCTGTGTTCAGCCCTACAAGAAAATAACCATATTTGTTTTCTGGATGAGAAGCACACTGAACAAGTAATTGAATACAGACACATTTCAGGCACATTTCAATTCAGTTATTAAAAACAAATTCTGAGTTTGATTTTGACGGTGCCAGCAGAGAAGGCCCTGATGGCCCTGACAGCCCACCCCTGGGGAAAACACTGGTTTTGTGCTATTTTCAAAGAGTAATACTTTGATTATCAGGGGATAAGTAAACCCCCAGCAGTTTAATGGTGGGCTGGAAGGTGAATTAATTGTCCTCCTCCTGCCAAAATTGCATAAAACTGAGTAAGAAGATGACACAGTGTCTGGAGTGAATGTCGGTCGAATATCTGTTCAGTGCTGATGTTATGCTGTGGTGCTGTGTTTCATCTGTCAGTGTCCTCTTTTTACGACACAACACTATCAGTTGAAAATTTATTTTTCACTCTGTGAGGAAATGGACGTGTGGTGTGAGAGCGCGTAAAAGTATGAATCTCACGGTCAATGCGTGAGACTTGGCAGCACTGCTACTGATTGTGTTGTAAATGTACAACTTGTCAAATAGCCATTTTATGACCTATTTCTGGCAAACCATGATGTTTGTGGTTTATTAAAATTACCAATTTCTTAATCCACCAGTGTTACAGCCAACAAAGTATCACTTGAATGTTGACTGTGTGGGTGTAATGTCTACTGTGACACCTCCACAGGAAGCAGCTCTGCATTACGGCAGAAAGACCGCTCGCTACCTCCACATCGCCAGCAATAAGACCAACCGCTGGGGTCACCAGCGCTCGTACAGGTTGCAGGTGTTCAGCTTCGCTGGGGACCACCTCCCAGAGAGCGAGCCAGAGGAGAAGTCCATGTCCTGGGCCAGGTGAGACTCAACAGCCGTAAATTCAAATAAAGTCAGATTCTCAAAAGTGAATGATTACAGTTTGTTTGCCTTGATGATTAAAAGTTGTGTTAGACAAGATGTGTTTTACAGACACTCATAGGACAAAGAATATGACCTCCAGTAGGCTCAATTTGAACTCTGGGTTAGATTTTATAAAGTTCAACAATTGAATTGAAATGGAAACTCTGTGAACAGGGAAGTCCTGTTTTTGTGTGAACATTTTTTTTTCAGAACAATTGACTTTGCAGGGTTTTTCCTGGATCAGAATGGGTCTCTGGCAGGTGACTAACACACGACTAGGAATTGGCATCTGGGCATATCCTTATCGGTTCGGTATCGATACTCTTCAATTTTCAGTTCCATTTTATTTACTGTATAAAGCCCTCACAGTGGATAAGGAAAAACTCCCCCAAAAAAACCCTTCAACAGCGGAAAAAATGGTAGAAACCTCAGGAAGAGCAACTGAGGAGGGATCCCTCTTCCAGTACGGACAGATATGCAATAGATGTTGTGTGTACAGAACATATCGATATAATAAATTTCCAGTAACCCATATGACAAAATGATTGAGACAGAGACAGAGAGAGAAACTGAGACAGAGAGAGACAGCAAGACACAGAAACATAGAGAACAGCAGGGCAGATAGTAAAGACAGTAGCTACAATAACATTATTTTTAGTAATAATATTATAATATATTGCTTTACTAGTCTGCAATCCTTGTATTATTGAAGTGGCTTATTAAAGGTCAGTATAAGCTGTTGTGCTTGTCCCTGGTGTTGCTTTTGGGTCCAAAATCCACCCGTTACATTATGCTGCTCCTTGTGTGTAAACATGCACAGTGTCTCTCTTAATGGAAAATCCGATAGCAGCACTGCTCTGATCTGATCTCTGCTAGATTCACATTTTTACAGAATGTAACCATTTTCCTCATTAATGATGAATTATTTCACCCAACCACAACCTATCTGCATGTCCGTGTGTGTAACAAGCTGCGTGTATGCATGTTGTGAACCTGCATATGTAGGAGAGGGCTGTGCTCTTCATGTAGCAATGCAGAAGTTATGGGTGTGGAGGTCAGGGTGGTGAATGGGTGTGTAGCACATCAGGCTTTCATGCAGGAAACTGACATTCATGTCCCATTGTATAAAGTTAGCCTCTTTATTAATTGTAATCCAGAGCTTTCCCTAACTATGCTGCTGCCAGGCACAGATGTTGAAGAAAGCAATTAGAAATGTTGGCATTAGACATAAAAATGTTGTCACTGAACATAATCTGGGGATTTGTACAATTGTTAAGTAGCAATGTTCTTGTCTGGTGATAGGGTTGAAATCCTCTATGAGTCACAATGCAGTGTAAGATCACAGCGTTGGTTCTGCTGGCCATCCTAGGCCCGCTCTATCTGCATTTCTTCTGTCTGTCATCATTGGGCTCATCTCCAGTGGAGATGAGTCTGCCTATAGGGACGAAGTGGAAAGGCTGTCTACCTGGTGTTCAGAGAACAACCTCTCTCTGAACATCAAGAAAAACAAAAGAACTCATCATAGACTTTAGGAAAAACAGAGATGACCCCGCCCCTCTCTTCACTGGAGGAGAGAGTGTGGAGACTGTCACCTCCTTCAAGTTCCTGGGCACCCACATCTCAGCTGATCTCTCCTGGACCACCAACATCACAACTATGGTGAAAAAGGCACAGCAGCGGCTGTACTTCTTGAGAGTTCTCAAAAAAAAAAAACAACTTGGAGAAAAGGCTGCTGCTAGCCTTCTACTGCTCCTCCGTGGAGAGCATCCTCACATACTGTCTTTGTGTGTGGTATGCTGGCTCCAAGGCAGCTGACAGAAAAACCCTCCAAAGAGTGATCAACTCAGCACAAAAAAATCATTGGTTGCCCTCTGCCCACACTGGATGACATATCCAAATCCTACTGTCACAACAGGATCACATCCACAACAACAGACCCTACACATCCAGCCCATCACCTGTTTGAACTGATGCCCTCCAGGCGGCGCTACAGGTCAAACACTGACCCCCCCGAACTCTAATATCTACCTCAACTGTGCTGAACAGCAATCATGCACTTATATTTATATTTATTGCTAAATTGCACAAATGTGTCTGTTTTATTTATTGTTTTTTTTTTTTTATACCAGTAGGTGTTTTATATCATATGTTTTTTTTTATTATCTTCTTTTGCACTGCGTGGGCTGAGCACCCATAATTTCATTGTACCCTGTATAATGACAATAAGGTCTATTCTATTCTATTCTATTCTATTCTATTCTATTCTGTTTCCAGGTATAAGGTTGCCATCACCAAGCATAAGGATTTAGAGCAGACCAGCAGCAGTCTGTACAATCAAAACAACATGTGGACTCCAGCTGTCGACTTTAGCAAGTACATTGACGACAACGAAAGCATCGAAGACAAGGTGTGTTGAAATTTATATATGCATGTAAAAATAATAACATGATACAAACACATAGGCCTATGTAAACTTGAGCTTAGATATCTTAGCAGAAGGAATTTGCACAATGTGTATCTAAATGTGGCTGCAGGACCTGGTTGCCTGGGTGACCGCTGGGTTCCTCCACATACCCCACGCCGAGGACATCCCCAACACAGTAACTGTGGGCAACGGGGGAGGGGTCCTGCTGCGGCCCCACAACTACTTTGATGAGGATCCATCCATCCACTCTGCTGATGCAGTGTACATTAAGCCGGGCAGCGAGGACAGCTGTGACAACAACAGGATGGCCTGCCTCGCCAAAGAGACCTGCAGCCCCGTTCTTGAACCCTTCACCTTCAACGGCTTCGAAGGAGTCATGAAGTTCGAGGATTAGGTCTGATTTATTTAGCACTGCTAGGTGTAAGCCCTGATGAACTCAGAGATATACTTGGGTTTCATTTGTCGATCAAGCTTGTGTCAATGTTAACAGTTTGGGACAGTAAATAATTTGTGCTCCATGTGTTTTAATTCTGCTCTGGGCAAGAAACTGAGTAAAGGAATTTGTCAATATTTTGGAAAATATGCTAATTTGCTCTGTTTCTGAAGATCAGAGGCTGGGGGAAACAGCTAGCCTGGCTCTATCCAAATTTCAGAAATATGCACCTCTGAAACTTTGTATTTAACATGCTTTAATCTGTGCCCAAACAGAATTGTTAAAACATTCTTTTTTTTTTGTTTTAAGTAAAGTTACATGCTATAACTATTTCTTTCAATACAAAACCTGGAAATTAGTTAGCATTCCAGCTCCTAGTTCCATTGTCTCAAAGTCAGTGGGTTAGATGAATGGGTTTTTAGTTGGATGCCAGAATTAAGGTCTGTGGGTAACACAAGCTAAAGAGACTTTCACATTTTGTTCTATGACATAAAATACATCAGTAAATACCCGACTCATGAATTTTGAAGCTTTTATGAGTCTTTAAAAAGGTGGTTGCTAACAAGTGGTTAAATGAGGCTACAGAACGTCCTCATGCTAAACATGGCTTTACAGCCTCGTGGTGGTAGGGATGTTAAGTCATCTGAACCTGGTATAGTTTGTTTATATCCTTACATTAGCTTTTTACCTCTGGTGAGCATTTAGGCTTCAAAAATCAAAAAAGCGGTGTTCATTTGTGAAGATTATTTTGCTGAACAAAATGTGTAAAGACCTTTGCACACTGAATCCATTTTTTTTCTGAAGCATTTTGTAATCCATCATCCGGAAAAAAAACGTTATGCAGAGAAATCGTGCACACTGATTCCAACGCATTTTATTGCTCTATTTGTTGTGAATATGTATTTGCAATACATGGCAAAATGAAAAGACACATTTCCTCTTTTGCCTCTGTCCACTGAAGTTACCAATTTGGCTGTCACCACTCCCTCTCTGTCTTGCATTTGACACCAGCTGCATGAAGGGGCAGAGCTGTTCTCCCTCTATGTCTCTCTGTCTGTGTGCGGCCCACATCCTCCTCCTCTTCATCATCATTCACCTGAATATTACTATCTGACCTGTTGAAAGTGAGCTATCTGAGTTATAAAATGATTCTGTGCACCCTATTCCACTGTCTTGTCATGGCTGTATCCCACCGCCACATTTTCTTCATTTATTCTCGGTCAAACGTCCCTAAAGGCTTGTGTCCGATGTGAAAAAGGCAGAAAATCAAACCTGTTCCGAAAATTTTAACGATGGATTAAAGTTTTGAACTAAGTGTGTGAACATGATTGATACAGGTATTTATTTATAGACGTGCGACTATTTGACGGAAAAAACGGACTCAGTGTGCAATCCAGTGAAAAAATTCCATAGACTTTTGATGAGGGAACCAGGCCAATGCCAACTTCCATGTCAGCCTACAGAAAAACGCAATCACTGGAGCACAGATTTCTGATTTTTTAAATGCCTGCATCAATATAATTCAAATGCAAAGGTGGAAAGTTCCCGCTTTTATTGTGGTAATCTTTAAATAATGTGCATCATATCAATTTAAAGAATATCAAAGTTGAAGCAAGAATGCAGAAAACGAGGGATTGTCTAAGGACAAGGACCTTCAGCTGCTTGAGTAGCAACTGGGAGTCAGTCAGCCCAGCCCAAACTACCCGCTGGATAGGCAAACTTTCTGTAAAATTTTAAATGCTAAAAATAAAATTAATAAGTGACAGTCAGTGTTGAGATTATGGCAGCTGCCACAAATAAATCAATCCATGGGAATCACTGTAAGCTTAATGAGCAGGGACAGCTAAATGTAGCAGTTCAAGTTTACTTCAAAAAGTACATTTTTATTCATTCTATTGTACATGTGATATACATTAAAGTAAGAAAACTTTATCTAATATGGCAATTTTCCTAGAGCAAGGTCACAAAATGCCTCACTGGAATAAAATTGTCAAAAAAATAACGCCACAAAAACAGTTTCATTTATTTACCACTTTTCTATGCAGTGATGTTGTTGAAATTAAAGTCAGACAGACTGACTCGGGGTTGGAAGAGTATGAAGAGGACCGACAACGTCATCTGGGGAATTACACCCCAGGAAATACTTTTTCAAGAAACTTCAGTGGAGTTGAAAATTAGGAATAGGGCCCACAGGCTCATTACTGGCACAAAGACAAACATGACAGACATGGAGTCAAAATAAACCAAATGATAATTGAATTTAGAAACGAGTAAATAAGCAGTGACTGGAACTGCTGGGAGAAAAGAAAAAACAAAACGCTAATTATAATAATAATAATAATCTAAAACCACAAGTTAGATAATATACCCAGTCTAACCCAAACTAAATTAAACATATCTAGGGGAAGTGAGCAGAGGCCACTCATGGAGAGGCAGACTACACCGAGGGGTGCCCAGGGGTGCCACCGCTTAAAGGGGAACTAATGTCTTTTTCAACCTGGGCCCTATTTTCCGATCTACTTTTGTCTAAATGAGTGATAGAATGTTTAATATGTGACATTTCTCCAGTATGAAGCTAGGGCTGACCTGCCTGCAGCCCGTGAACGTGCACTATATTAAATAATAGGATACTCAGACAGCGTCAAACAACGTCAAAATACATCCACTAAAAGTGCATTTTTTTCACACAGATAGGCTCGGATTGTTAGTATAATTATCCGACAACATAACGGAAAGGAGAAATGAACGTCTGTGTTGACCTTTAGCTGGATTCAGACATGTTCCTCTGCCTGTTGCTGCTCCCTCTCTCTCCTCGTCCGCTCTTCAGTTTCAATGAGCTCTGCATCTGTGTACATCCGTGTACTTCGTGTTCAAATAAATACGGTCCATCCAGATCCAGTTGGTCAAAATCAGGTAAAAATCCGAACATGTTTGTTGTTGCAAGTCAAAACACTCATTCAGAGAGTGAAAGTCTGGCTCTGAAATCTCACATCTCACGAGATTTGAGTTGTAGGAAGTTACCGCTGGAGTGTCCTTACCAAATGCGAGGAGTTACTCTGTTTGGAGTAGTCATGGCTGAATTTTTACCAGATTTTGACTAGACTCACAAGTCAGTCTTTAGACGCTTTGCTTAACTAAAGACTGATGACTTTCTCCCTGATTTTGTGTTTAGATGGGCGGATACAATTTCAGAGTTTAAAAAAACTCCCTACATTGCAGAACCAATAGTAAATCTGCAGAGCGGTCCTTCGGTGGCTCGCTGAACTCTTGTGCTTGTAAACATAGTCCCACTAGAAACACGTGTAGCGGTACAAAATGGCTCAGCCGTGCTTGCAGAAAACGCCGTCAAAGTTAGTGGACACATTCTCGCCAACTAAAAGAAACAAACATAATCTTTTACAAGGCCATGACTCATCCGTCCGGCCGGACTATAACGTTAGAGGGAATCACCTTGTTGTTAACAAATACTTCCGGGTACAAAACCAGCAGCGCTTTTAGCTATATATAGCCTATATATCACATTTTTCACATCACTGTATCATCGTTTGGACTAATCCGATGTTTGTAAAATCTATAAACACAATGATTGAACAAACATTACTATTTCTGTGTGCACATTTAGCTGGGCTAACCGTTAGCTGTTAGCCCTGTTAGCCGTTAGCAGTGTCTGTAATAGGTAATAACTCATTAAACGGTCCGTGAAAAAAATATCTTTTCCAGCGAATATCTTAGTTACAACATGATTGAGCTAGCAAAGCAGTTTTGTGTTGCTATGTGTGGTATTTATTCAGTTTTAGGAAATCACAATGTCTAGAAAGCATCAGTGGCTGCAGCTGACAGGGACAGCTAACACTAGCAGCAAAGCTAACATCAGGACGTCATCTGTTAAAAGCATCCCGTTGTTGGATACCACATGAAACTACTCCAGTTAGCTCAATAATGTTGTAACTAAGACATCCGCTAGAAAAAATATTTTCTTCATGGATGAGCACAAGTTTGATAAAACAGAGTTAAATCTCTAAGCATCCATTTTCAAGCTCTCAAGCTGTGTGTTTGTTTCCTTGCGGACGAGAAAAGGAGAAGCGCACATTTCCAAGAAGACGTGTCCTTTTCAAAAATGCAAGAGGAGTTGCTTTGTTGCCGGCTGTTTTCGCCGGTGTGTTAAACACACTTTAGAAAGGAGTGTCCCCAGACTATCAGAAGGCGGAGATCTCTGATTGTCTGGTGGCGAGACTAGATTTTGACCAACTGGATCTGGATGAGCCATTCGAATTTGATGACCGCCCGTATTTATTTGAACACGGAGTACACGGACGTACACGGATGCAGAGCTCATTGAAACTGAAGAGCGGACGAGGAGAGAGAGGAAGCAGTGTTACTTCGGTAGAACAATTGCACCAGCAAAACAAGGATAGCAAAACAATGAAAGGCAACACAGTAAACAGGCAGACTGGCAAAATGGCAGCAGGTAACCACCTTGGATCTAGAGCAGCACACCAGGGCTCCCACATGCATTGTGTGCAGAAAATGGATCGGAGCAAAGCTGCTAACAACCAGCCACAACAGGGAAGAAGACAGGAGCCAAAAGAATGAGCCCAAGGGCCTTATGTAATCTGGCACTAATTAGGGGTGTGGTTGGGGGAGGAGGCAGGCCTGGGGCTGCATTCCCTAGCACTAAATAACTAAATAAATGCATGAAAGCACCCCACAACATTAGCTAAGCTAAGAAGGTGAACAGAGTAAATATACACGTGTTTAGCATTAGCATGTTAGCATTGTTGTTGTGAACAAGTTAGCATGTTGGTGTTTGTGTAAAGAACCACTTTGCAGCCTCATATGGCTTTAGGCTCTTACAGCCGAAATACATGGGGCACGGATGTCATGCATCACGTAGGCAGAGCAGAGCAGTGTTTTTTACCTGCTACACAAACTTACGTGGTTGCTGCCAGCTTCACTGTGTGTGTTTTGAGTTTTAACAAGTGATAATGCAGTTGGTTGTGGAGGGTTTGGAAGGATAGGCTATATGAAGTGGTACTGAATGAATTAACCGGATCATTTTAACAACAGCATACATTGTATGATTGTTTTATTTGAATGTGAAAAGTAAAAACACACAAGGTTGCTCTGCTGCATCATATTGCCTCTGGTATAATGAGGTATTCCTTTTAGTTTGTTTTTTTTAAAACAGACTGTATACATTTTTTTACACAGTGCCATGTAGTTTTTACCTGTTGGAGGGCTGCAGAAAAAAAAGATCAGCCATGTAAAAATAGGCTTGTTCGAGATGAGCCAGGCCTGCGCAGATTCAATCACCGGCGATCGGTTTTGTGTCCAACTTCATCCCGACTTGCTCTGACGTATTACAAAAGTGGACGGCGATGAAACCTTGAGAGCGAGGCGGCCGCAGTTTTCAGAGCAAGGCACTGCAGTTGCTCTCCACCGACTGCACCGCCTGACTCTCACCTGATCTAACAGCGGATTGGTTTAGAGGTTGACTCACCACTATGACGTTTTAGATAAACTTGTATATTTAAATTTTATTTGAAGGTTTGTTCTGTTTACAGAAAACATGTTGCGTGACTGATGGTGAAGTTTAGTTGTTAGAGACTAAATACATTCATCATAAACTATACAGAGTCTACTGTATATTAACACTGGACTTTTTTAATTATTGAAGTATTTAACATCACAGAGACTTGTGGTCAGTGGGATCTGAGGATTCTTAAAATAACATTTGTACAGATGTGAAGCCCTGACTGTATCTGGCTGATCTGCCGCCTGCTCTCATCTACTTTCCAGGCAAGGCGCAGTTCATCTCGAACGAGCCTAATAACATTGAGCAGCGCAGTGCAGCTTACAAGTTGATTATTATGGTTGTGCTCTGCTGCAAGCATGCTGCAACAGACGTGACTTGTTGCGTCTGCGTCCCATGTATTTTGACCGTTGGCCTTGCCTTTTTCGGTGGTATCACTAAGGTTAGCAATCTACAACAGATGGATTTTGTTTGTTTTCTTCTTTTCAGATTTTTTGTTGAGTAATTCTATCTGTAAAACTGAACACAGTAAATTTGTCAACATTAGAATAAAAACCAAACTTATGGGTTTACAGGAATAAGTGTTATGCTTATCCGATTTTGCAAGTGGGAAATGTATACCTTTACTTACTTTTACTTACAAGACTGTTTACTGCAAGCTTAAATTTTATCAGCAGCAAAATCTGCCTTTGATTGAGCACTCATTTTTAAAATAAAAAAACATATGATTACATCTTCAGAGATGTGATCTATGGTTTGAGATTTTGCAAGCAAAGAGGCTCTAATCTGTTTTAATATAGTAATGTTTGCAATCACTTTTGCTTTTATGCCAGCAATTGCTTTTTAACATGGAGTCCAAATGTATCCAAAGAGGGTTTCTTACCACTATGATATTAACTGTGAGGTAAACTGACACTGTACCGTCAGCTGTGTGTAAAAGTGTGCACTGACAAATGTAATCACCCAGTCTTAAGCAGGATCACTCTGATGTGGCTTGAGGCTTGGACTACTGATCATCTGACTGATGTCTTATTCATTCTGTATATTTTTCCTACAGTGCAACATTCTGAGGAATGTGTTGCTGTTGTTTCCTATAAAAATAAAAGAAGAGATTATTTGTCAAAGAAGCAGTCCAGAGGTTTGCTGCAAGCATTTCGTCTCTGCAAACAGACAGACAGACAGACAGACAGACA